CAGAATTGCAGAACCAGTTCTAAGTGGTAAACTGCCAGCTGGAGACCACAAGACCAGGAAAGTTGAGCAACATCTTGATAGTCCTGCAAACATGCTTCTGGCTCCCCCAGGCAGTGCACTGGGTGGTCCATTGACACCTTTTAAGGAATGTCCCCCTGGAAGAGGCAAGATGCATTTTTATTGTCAAGAAGTATGGAAGAATCAGGGCTCCAGATTCTTCTTAAGAACTTGTTTGGAAGACCCACCTGCTCTCCTTTTACTAAGGGTCCTCTGCTCAAAGAAAGCCAAAGTGTCCAGGGGCTTCTGCCAGTGAAAAGGCCTCGAAAGCAGGTCAGAAATGACTGTTTTTAAGAATGCAAGAGCCTCCTCCACCCAGACATGTTGGTACGAAGAATACCAGGTATTGGGGTAGCCAGCTTTTTGGTGCCTGCAGAGTATAAGAATGGAGGACGGAGTTTGCACAAAAGGAATTCATTTCACACAGGTTTTGGATGTTTCCTCCACCCAGGAGCCTTTGCTTTTGGCAGACATGGGAGTCCAGTTTTTGGTGGCTGGCATAGACTGTGACTGATCTACCAACTTATTTCATTCACTCTTTGAGCTAAATCTATGGTCTACAGCTTCTCTGGCTCTTTGCTTCAGATGTCCCATTAGTTTGTGTCTATTTCTCAGTCCTCCTGATGTTGAGTCTAACTGAAGCTATGAAAGAGCTAATGGAAGCAAAGTTTTCCCTGCCCTCGAGGGTTAGGCTGTGTAATCCTTTGGGAGGTGGGAAGGGCTTTGGTTTCCGGAAGATGAAAGTTCCTGTTTTCGGCACCTCTCCCTATTTCTTTCACTGGTTCATGTTTTTGCAAAGCCTTTCCCTCTGGCCTCCATGAAAGGCCAGGAAGCATCAATACAAGCAATCTCTTACTCTTCCTCAAGCCAATGCCCTTGGAAGGTGCCCTTAGGTCTGTTTATGGAATGAGGAAACAGACCCATAAAGTTATATAACTCTTCTCAGGTCACATAGCTCTTGTGTTAGGACTGGATTCAAATTCAGTTCTGGCACCCTGAGCTTTGGCTTTGTGCTGTGTCTTGTCTTCTAACCTCCAGGGAGGGATTTTTAAGTTAAATAAAATCCAAAGCATTTCCTCCGGGTTGTTCCTTGGCACCACAGGAGGCCTGGGGCTTGAGGGGAGGTGAAATCTGTTAAGACTTGCCTGATAGAAAACTAGGGAGCTCCTCCCTGGAAATGTTACATCTAGATATTTAGAGGAACCAAAGGATCACCCAGCACACCATCCCTCTTGTGCTTTTTGCTAATGAGAAGCTGCAGATTAGAGAAGTTTAAAGATTTCCCCAGATCTTGGTGCTACACAGTGGGGGCCTGAGACACTCCCCACTCTTCCCCAGTGCCTGCTTCCAGACAGAGCAGGAGTGAAAGGCTCCATATGGGAACGTTTTGGAAATGCAAAGAAATGGGGAACTCTTCAGACTGGAGCCATGAGGGAAGGGATAAGCCTGGCCTGGAACAGTTCATGAGAGGCAGATCTGCAGGCTAAAATGTGCAGACCGTGTGTAATAACTGACTCTATTCCTTTCAAACACCCACATAGTTCTGGGACCCACAGATGAAGCCACCCACTTTAAAATTTATTGAAAATATTTCACTTTTATTTCTAGTGTTTCAAAGGGTCTGGGAGGGGACCTTTCACTCTTTTCTTCTGAGGGGTGGAGAGGGAAGCTCTGCCAAAGCCATGGCAGAGCAGGCTGCACATCTAGCCTGATTCCCTGATCTGCAGCGCCCCCTCAGAACACAAGGACGTTTGTAGGCTTGTGGGCATGAATGACCAGGCTGGCAATTACAGGACTCAGGTGAACTGAGCATGAAGGAATCAAGGGCAACTTGAAAACTACACCTGGCCACAGATTAGAGGGGCTTTAGCCCATTCCGTTCAGGGGTCCAGAGCTGCTTGCCTTTGGCGGGGACATCTAGAGTGGTCAGCTCGGGGACGAGGTGTTGTGCTGCAACAGGGCTCAGAGGAGGCTGGGGACCCCACTGATGTTAAGACCATGCCTCTAGGAGATCATTTCGGCACTTGCTTTTGCTTCTTTCAGCCAGTTTATGCTTCTCAGGGTTTCAGGCTGTGACAAGTGTCTGACACCAGCAGAGTTCTGGATCCCCTAAAACGAAAACCTTCCGGTGTGTTGGAGTGGGGCTCACCTTCCGGCCTACGGGGCTCTGGGAATCCCATTATGGGAGAAATGAGGCACCCTGCTCTCTTGGCTGTGGTGGTAAAGCTGTGGGTGGAGCGCAGCATCCTGGCCACTTCTTCACCTAAGTCAGGTAGTGGCTTCTAGCATCACAGCTGAGTAGAGCTCTGGACTAGGAGCCCAGCCTCCAGCCCCTCCTGTTCTTCCGCAGGGCACACGGCCCGGATGCAGTGCTGATGGCTGAGGGCAACCCTCCCACTGAGCTGACACAGGCGCAGATGCTGCACATCGCCCAGCAGATAGCTGCCGGAATGGTCTACCTGGCATCCCAGCACTTCGTGCACCGTGATCTGGCCACCCGGAACTGCCTGGTTGGGGAGAACCTGCTGGTGAAAATCGGTGATTTCGGGATGTCCCGGGATGTGTACAGTACTGACTACTATCGGGTGAGTAGCTGACCCAACAAGGAGCCGCTCTTTCCTTTGGAAGCCCCATCGTATTCACGTGCTTAGGCTGGCAAGAGCAAACATCACAGATTAGGGGACTTCATAGAAATTCACTCCTACAATTTTGGAGGCTGGATGCCTAAAACGAAGGTGGTGACCGGTGTGATTTCTGCCAAGGCCTCTTGCTGGAACGCAGGTGTTTGCTTTCCTTTGATATCCTCCATGACCTTCATTTTTTGTTTTTATATGTATGAGCTTTAAAGAGAGCCGTTACATCTAAATTTCCTCGTCCTATAAGGGCAGCAGTCAGATTGGATTAGACCCTGCCCAATTGGTCTCATTTTCCCCACATCACCTCTTTGAAGTCCTGCTCCAAATGCACTCATATTCTAGGGTACCGGGCTAAGGTGTTCAACACATAGGGCGATACCTTCTCTGCACTTTCCTTCTCTTTCTAAAGTGGTGTGTGACATCTCCAAGAGAAAAATTCTCAGCGTCAAATTTTCCAGGATGTTCCTTGAGGGCATGAGGATCAAAGATTTAACCTGGAACTTCAGTTTGAGACTGTAAAATAATACCAAGAGATGATGAGGGTTGAATTAACATGAGCTCTTTCCTGTAAATACTAGTACTCTGGGTTTTGGAAGTTCCTCACAGAACCATCTTGAATTAAAGCGATGAAACATTTTATATCATAAAGGGAGGGGTTCCATGGCTCTAGCCAGCCTGCTCTGAAACAGCCCCATCTGGCCTGCTCAGTGGTCCAAGGATTAAAGTCACAAAGGGGTGGACTTACAGGCCATGGTTTAAATTCAGTGATTACTTGTAGTTGATGTACTCTGAGGATTTCAGACCTGTCAACTGTGATCTTGGAACTTGGGTATGAAGACAGGAAACATTTCTGGACCTGGAAGTCTGAAGGTTTGGAGTGGTCTCAAATCTCCATTTGATAACAGCGTCACTTTACTTTCAGGGGGGTAGAGGTGGTGCCACTCTTCGCCTGTGTTCAGCTCAAGGGTATTTCTTTTTGAAGAGGTGTCTGGCTATGGCCCTTCCATAGCCAACTTTGCTACGATCAATTTAAGAAAGCGAATCTGTTTCTTTGCTACTCATTCTTCTGCTGATTGTTGTGTGGTGGTTTCTTCTTAGACATCTTGGTGAGCATTGTTCACATTCACTGTGCTGAGAATGAACAGAGATCAAATTGGAGAGGATCATCTCGGATATTTACAGGCGATATGGGCAGTCTTGCTCTTAAGTGTCTAAAATAGAACTTTGAAACACACGTATTGAGTTTGAAAGCTTATTCCAGGTGTCTGAAATACAGTTGATATTTTACTTATCAATAGGTATACGTACTCTATTAAATTTTGCTTCATGGGTGGGATACAGTGGATGAGTGTCTCCTGGTTTCCGAAGATGAAGAAACAGGTGGGTACTTCCCTGAAGAAAGGTTTTGCTGATCTTGATGAGCATATACAGGAAGAACATGTGCTCCAAGAAATAGCTTCTTTTTTATTTTTTATTTTTTTAATATTTTAAAAATTATTTAGTTAATAACCACATGATTAGAAGAAGCATTTTATTACAGCTTTAACATATTCAATAACAATTTCCAAAGCAAAGATACGTCTCTTTCAAAAGTGGCTGTAAATTTTTAGGTTCACAGTTGAATTAATACAGTTATACAATATTGAACTCAGTATAAACCCTATAAGACATAAAATTGAATGAGGTTTTAACCTTTAAAAAAGATCTCCATTTCATTTTAAAATATGCTGTTTCCTACAGAAAGACTCATTTTTAATGCTACTAACACTTAGATGTTTGCATGTGCGTCTCTTACCTCTATGTATCTGATTATTACTAGTCACAGTTGGTTACACTTGGATCCTTGGCACCTGAGTATGGATATAAAGTTATCAGGTAGATTTCAGTGGTAATGGTTATCACCTCTACTCATGAACATGAAGTAAATTTTTATACTTCTTCCTCATGTATAACTCATTTTCTTTTATTGGTTGATTTTTTGTGTGTGCATATCATACAGAACATCCCAAACAATCTTATTCATCTATATACCCACTTCCCAAATGGCACCCTCCCATAGTCCCCCACTGGTGCCCATATACTCTGCCATCCTGTTACTATCCACCGTGTTGTCAGCACCCCCAGCCATTCCCCAGTGCTTGTCCATCCGCTGACTCTAGTCATCCTATCTAGAGTTCCTTGTTTTAGGAAGATCAGGCTGTTCTTCATCTAGCAGCAATCAATTGTCAATATTCCTTTAGATAAGACTGGGGTCTGCTGTTCATTATCCCAGTTCTGTGCTGAGTTACTGTCTGGGAGTCTCTTGCACCACCTTGCCCAACCACTCAAAGGAAGGTACCTCCTGTCTGGCATTGTTTCTTATTATGTAACCTTTAGCTATACACATGGACTCTTAAAAACTCCACAGCATTGTATACTTTAAAAGGGGAAATATTTTGATGTATGAATTGTATCCCCACCAAAGAAATCTTGATAAAGAAAATGCTAGCATAGTAGCCATCTTTATAAGTTAATCTTCAACACTGGTGCATTATTTAAGCACTGGTATTTGTAGTCTACCATCTATTATTATCGTTTGTTTAGAAAATTCTCCACTTATATAACAAGATCCTGAAGTACTTCCTACCAAATTGATTGGTGGAAACAATGATTCCTGGTTTCTTTATGTGTTAAATGTTCATGGACCTGTCCTAGTAATCATGATCTGTGCCTCAAAAGTCACAGTAGGGAGCTGGAGAGATGACACAGCAGTTAAGAGCACTTACTGCTCTTGCCAAGGACTGGAGTTTGGTTCCCTGAACGCACATGGCCACTCACAACCACATGTAACACCAGTGCCGGGGAACTGAAGCCTTCTTCTGCCACCCCTCCCCACAAGGGCACTGCATGCATGTGGTACACATAAAGTCACACAGGCGCACACACACATACACATAAATAAAAAGAATAATAAATCTGAAAGAAGTCACATTAGCTTCATCAATCCGCAGCCATTACTCAGTGCAGTTGCAAAGTCTGTACTTTCGTGGGTTTTTTGCTGGTTTTCCACATTCAAAATGTGGAAGAGGTACTAGCTTTTCATTGGCCTTTAACAGACTTGGAAAAAAAGCAGGTCAGAATAATAGATGGAAGATCTGACAATTGGATAACAAAGTAGGGAAGCAAAGAAATGATGTATTTTATTTCATCTTTTCTAAAATTTCAAAATGATAGCTCACCTTTTGGTTTCATGAAAGTACCTATCATGGTAGAGCTGGTTTGGAGGGCATTTTCACTTACTAAAGTAGCACAGCATGGAGCACACTCTGCTGCATATGTACGATGTATGATCAGAACATGCTGCTTGGTTTTGCAGAGGTCTAATGCATCTGCTGTGGTGGTATCCCAGCCTTGCCTTCACATGAAGCACCCTCATGCAGAAGCTTAATCGGAAACCCATCACCATGGTGTCTCCTCATGTCCTCTGCCACCATCTCTGGGTCATGGGCTTTCTTATGGTCGATGTTTCTCTTTTGCCAGCACCTTACACAAGTGTTTCCTCAGTATTTTCTTCCTGTGTTTCAACAGCTTGTACCATACACTAAAGTGAGAAGGTGACATTTGACGTCATCACCAACATCAAAAATTCTTTCAGCAATAGAGAAGTTTGAGTTAGCCTAGGGCATCTTACACGGAAGGATGATGCTCTGAAATGGAGTCAATTAGATTGGGAAGTAATGGGTTCCTTCTCTTTAAGAAAGTTCTAGTTCTACTCAGTGCCTGAATCTTCTGCTCGTGGGGGCTTGTGTGCAGCCTTGTCGGGTGGCCACGGCTCTGCTGCTGGGGGTGGCTGGTGACAGCTGTTCCTGGTTTTGAGGGAGCTGGGAACACCCGGAAGCCTAGGTCTCAAGGCTTGCACCCCATTGCAGCTGAGCTAATTACACCCTCCTAGTGAAGGAACACTGCATTTGCATCGAAACCAGCCCAACGTGGCGGGTCCAAAATTCCTCTAGCATTTATCTTCTCTGAATTTAGTCAGCAGCTCTGCAATGCCAGCCTTCAGCTTTGCTTTACGTTCCTCCTCTCCACTGGCGAACCCGACATTTAGGAACCATCAGAACCAGATTTCTGTCACACTCTGACAGGACATCACTCTGCTTGGTCATTACTCTGCCACTGTGGATCCATTGAATATTTGTTTTTAATTTGCACTTTGGTAGATTTCTATATTTGGGTCTAATCTAACATGAGCATAAATGAATGTAATCTGGTGGTGAGTGGACAGGCTCAAACATCCAACTCCTAGCTTTTAAGGCTTGCTCTGTTTGGGCTTTAGTTTTATGTAGAGGTGATAAGAAATCATTTAATTCATCTTCCACTGTAGAAGTGAGAACAGAGGACGAACAGGTAAGTTGATTTGTAATAGCTATTTCAAGAAGTAAGTGAATATAAATTAGCTAAGCAAGGCCATGTTCAGACTCTTAAAATGTTAAAATGATACCAAATAATGAACTAAGAAATCATTACTGGATGCTCAATGCAAGTTTGCTGTGTGCAGAGAAAAAAGAATGTGTTGTTCTAAAATAATCCAGGTGACATAGCAGGCAGCTAGCATCTGCTCTCCTCACTCTGCCCATGATGGGGTGAGAAGGCTAATGAACTAAATAGAGAGAAGCCAGTATAATATAAGAACCAGACGAGCAGACAAACGTCAATCAGAAATTCACTGCCACACTTTGGTCTTCAAAAAGAATGTGTTTATTTTTAAGGAATATTTTTTATGTAATGTGAACATTTCTAGATAGAAAGGTAGGTAGTTAGGTAGGTAGGTAGGTAGGTAGGTAGGTAGATAGATCATTCTAAAAATGCTTTTAGTCTCTTGTTTTGTGATATATAAATATTATTCCTTCTGTAAGGAGCAGCATAAGAGGCAATTCTAGCTTCTTCTCTCTCACTCCCTACAAGCAGGG